TCTCCATGTAATGTCCCACAAACAGTCATTCTGAGACTCCGGCCCACAGTTGATCAACCGAGACGTGAGTCCACAGACATCACCGGTAGTCCCAGTAAATCCTCTCCAAAGGCGGTTGACAGCACCGCTAGCCGAACACCATGCTGCAGAGCTCACTGAATGCGGCGTCAAGTAACTGAGGCCAACAGACTCAGTGAGCAGCGTGAGCGGTTCTTCTAAACGCCAGAGAAGGTACGATTCGGTGGTCAGGTACCTACTGCATAACGTGTACCCGAGGAGTTCAGGTACTTATGTTGACCCAGTAGAACGTGTACCCTTCGGTGGTCAGTACCTACTGCTTAGGTGTGTTACAGCGAGGCGCTCAGGTATCATAATAATTCTAAAGCAGTAGACGTGGTAACCTTCGGTTTGGTCAGGTACCTACTGCTTAGGTGGTGTACAGCAGCGAGGCGGCTCATGTACATAATATATCTAAAGCCAGTAACCGTGTAACTCCTTTCGGTGGTCAGTACCTACTGCTTAGGTGTGTACAGCGAGGCTCTTGGTCCATACCTTTACTATAGCCATAAACTTGTACCCTTCGGTGGTCATGTAACCTACTGCTTAGGTTGTAACAGCGAGGCCGCTCTGGTACATACTGTTACTAAAGCCAGTAGACGTGTACCCTTCGGTGGTCAGGTACCTACTGCTTAGGTTTGTACAGCGAGGCGCTCTGGTACAAACTGTTACTAAAGCCATAGAACCGTGACCCTTCGGTGGGTCAGTACCTACTGCTTAGGTGTGTAACCGTGGGCACTCAGGCTCTACCCCTGCTCTAAGGCGCTCAGCAGCCCCAACATGGGTTTGAACTGACGCACCCAGTGGTACTGCCGGCCGGCAGGTTAACTATTTAACCGCTAGTTTGGCAGGGGCCGCAACACCGACAAGGGTCATAGAGCATGCATGTCATTGATGTCAGTTAGGCCTGTATACCTTATACTTGTAGAATTAAAGATATCAATACTGATAATTGTACGACTTCTGTGTATCTGTACCTGATAGCATTACGTACTTGCTTGAAATGCCTGCCTAACCAGTTATTTTTTTTTATATTTATTTTTTAAAACACATTAGTGGGTGCAGTTGAGGAAAGGTGGGAGGCACTTAGTGTGAAAAATATAGTATACAGTAGACCTCCCGCTTAACGATCACCTCCCAATGCGACATTTATGTAAGTGTATTATGTAAGTGCATTTGTACGTGTATGTTTTGGGGTCTGAAATGAACTAATCTAGAGCTTCACATATTTCATATGGGACAAATTCGGTCATACTGGCACTGACATACTTCTGGACTGAAAAAATTATCGTTAAAACCGGGGGTCCACTGAGAATCCATGTGGCAATGCTTAAGAAATGGTAATGAAGGTACTGATGCAGTAGTCCAGTCCAGATTGGCAAACAAATAGCAGAATCTAGGTTTACCAGTTGGGCAGTGAAATAGCACACCACTGTGCAGTGGTGCTTATATTTTTTTGATGTTTCAGTTTGGTATAGTGTATAAGAAATAGTTTTATATTTTATGAGTTTTTTAAAAATATCAATTTTTCATACAGGACTTTTTTTGTGGGAATGGTTTAATAATGCTAAATGTTGATTATTCAACAGAAAACTGCTACAGCGGTTGCTCACTGCAAGCGTGGACCATGGCTTGATCAAGGTCAATGGCCGGCCCCTGGAGCACATTGAACCCAGGACTCTACAGTTCAAGCTGATGGAGCCTGTCCTTCTCCTTGGAAAGGCAAGTTAACCAGAATTTTTGGTAACCTCTTGACAGCAGTTGCATCTCAGGCATGAGCCAGCATATCATTTGCAAGTGAACAAAGTAGAATAGCATGTTAATAACTTGTATTAGTCAATAGTTAATGCATTCATTTTGGCTAGTAAATTGGTCGCATTTCCAGCTGGTAGGTCAGTTTCTGCTAACTTTGTGTCTGGAAAAGTTTGGTAAAGCTAGTCAAGAATTAAACGTTTACAATAGACTTGCTCTGCATTTTCTTTGCAGTTCGTGCCCCCATCTCAAGGGGGAAGGAGGGAGTGGCAGTAGACTTATCCTCTTATTTGAAGTGTAATGCATCCCATTTCCCAGGCATTATTACCCCCAAGGGCTTAGTACGTCCCTCTGATTAAAATGAATAAATGCAGCCCTTGCCAGTACAGTGTAGCTCATAAGGAATATTGTAGTAAACAGCACAGGCCTATTTGATTTACATTTTTTTTTTGATAAATTAGACACATCTGCAACTCTTGGGTATCTTTATTGAGGAAACGTTTCGCCACACAGTGGCTTCATCAGTCCATACAAAGGAGAATCTTGAAGAACACGAGTAGAATGAGGTAATCAGTCCCTCAACCTTGAGTTCTTCAAGATTCTCCTTTGTATGGACTGATGAAGCCACTGTGTGGCAAAACGTTTCCTCAATAAAGATACCCAAGAGTTGCAGATGTGTCTAATTTATCAACATGTCGGTTCTCTGAACCATTCATCTACAAACCTGTCAGACACTGCAACTTCTTGGGATCTTAATACTTGGGAATTCTTCGCTTGCCTAATTCTTGGGCACGACCTACTTCCACATTGAATAAATGTGACACCGCCTATGACTGCTGCACCTCTCCTACCAACGGTTTATAAGCTCCTTCTCCACACGTATGCCGTATTCTATTCAAGATTGATGGACTGACCACATCGACTCAAGGTTGACGGACTGATTACCTCATTCTACTCGTGTTCCTTCAAGATTCTCCTTTGTATGGACTGATGAAGCCACTGTGTGGCAAAACATTTCCTCGATAAAGATACCCAAGAGTTGCAGATGTGTCTAATTTATCAACATGTCGGTTCTCTGAACCATTCATCTACAAACATTTTTTTTTAACTATGGCTGACCCTTATTTAACATTGCTGTATTAGGTAAAAATAACTAATTATATATTTGGTCGTTTTGCTTGTAGTACTCGAGTTAGTAGAGGGAGGGTTGATGGTGTATTGGTCTTGGATGGGTGGCTATAGTTCCTGTGTTGATGCAGAAACAACATAGTTGATGGTTGTCTTAAAATAGTCAAATAGACTATTCTGTAATGTGTTGGCTTTTTATTATTTTTCTGCAGTATTTAGGAAGTGGCATTATGGCTTGATCAGTCACTTGTGGCCCTCCTTCAGAATAAGGTTTATAACTGTCATGATTATTTTCAGTGGAAAAAATCTTTTAAGCAGACCATGAATAAATAAATAAAAATATTTTTCATAACTAATTTTCTAATTCCAAAATCTATAAAACTTATTCCTATACACGAGTATTATTTAGTGTTAGTTCTCATGCAGCAGAGTGAATGCATTAGTATATATCTGAAGGAGTACTTGGGGTCAAATGAGCTTCCTTGTAATTAGTAGTCCACATTGATATTCAGTGTAGAAAATAATTTTTTTGTGAGTAGTCCCAACTGTTGCTCAACCTTCACACAGGCTTTGTGGAAACGGTATCAGATGCCTGGAACTGGTTAGTTTTCTTTCATTGTATAAGGAGATTCTCATATTTGTGGGAAACCTTGTTAAAAATGTTGCTTATTTGGTATTAGTAAATATATTTGCTTAGAACCTCTTACAATTCTGTTTGATTGCCTTTACTGTAGTAAAGCTTATGGTTTAATTTAAATTTGAAGCTGTCATATTTTGGGAATGCAGTGAAAATGAATGCTACATTGTTACATGTCTTATCATTTCAGGAGAGGTTTGCCAATGTGTCAATTCGTGTACGTGTGAAGGGTGGTGGCCACACATCTCAGGTTTATGCCATCCGTCAAGCTATTTCAAAGTCTCTAGTGGCCTACTATCAGAAATGTAAGTGAAAAATGATGGAATATTCAATGTAATGTAAGTATTGCACATACAGTGGTCCCTCAATTATTGTCCTTAATCCGTTCCTGGAAGTGGGACTATTATCGAAATAGAGGATTTTCGAATCAATTTTCCCCATAAGAAATGATGTAAATCCAATTAATTCATTCCAGACACCCAGAAGTATCAATAACAAATTTTTTTTTGCCTAAAAGATAGATTTACATGCACAAGAGAATGAACATTCAACACGACAGTTACCTTTATTGAAGGCTGTTGTTAATAAATGGAAGACAGGGAGGAGGAGAGAGGGAAGAGAGGTTATTGTTTGGAAGGGGGAATCCCCCTCCATAAGGACTCTAGGTCGTTAAATTAGACACATGTGCAACTCTTGGGTATCTATTGAGGAAACGTTTTGCCACACAGTGCCTCCATTGGTCTGATGAAGCCACTGTGTGGCGAAGACGTTTCTGTCCGACTTGGACCATTGACAAAGTCAGTGTGACTTTGTCAATGGTCCAAGTCGGACCGAAACGTCGTCGTAAGCTTCTCTCTTTTATGTGCGGGTTATTTGTGTATTGTTCCAGTCACGGTATTGTGCCTTTTGTTATTTAATGAGAACCTTCAAAACTAGGGAGGCCAAGCCCATGATGACACGCTTCAGGGCACTTGTTCTATCTAGGGTGGAATATTGCTGCACACTAACAGCACCTTTCAAGGCAGGTGAAATTGCTGACCTAGAAAATGTACCCGAGAACCTTTCACGGCGCGCATAACGGAGATAAAAAAACCTCAATTACTGGGAGCGCTTGAGGTTCCTAAACCTGTATTCCCTGGAATGCAGGCGGAGAAGGGTACATGATTATATACACCTGGAAAATCCTAGAGGGACTATACCGAACTTGCACACGAAAATCACTCACAACGAAAAGCAAAAGACTTGGGAGAAAGATGCAACATCCCCCAGTGAAAAGCAGGGTGTCACTAGCACGTTAAGAGACCATACAATAAGTGTCAGGGGCCCGAGACTGTTCAACTGCCTCCCCAGCATACATAAGGGGATTACCAACAGACCCCTGGGAGTCTTCAAGCTGGCACTGGACAAGCACCTAAAGCCCGGTTCCTGACCAGCCGAGCTGTGGCCGTACGTTGGTTTGCATGCAGCCAGCATAACAGCCTGGTTGATCAGGCTCTGATCCACCAGGGGGCCGGGCACAACCGGGCCAGGGGGGGCGTTGACCCCCGGAACCCTCCGGGAAAAAACTCCGGGGTATAAGGGGCCAACAGGCCTACTGCAGTTTCCTCCTTTTTTTTTTCTTATTGGAGACTTTTTTGTGGAGGGAAGATGGCTTTTTGTTGGAAAGACACAATATCAACTCTACGGCTTTTTTAATCTATCACAATTCAACTAATTGACATAAACAATATTAATAACTTAGAAACAGGAATATACTCAAATGAAAAAATAATCATTACTATGTCACGAGGGGTGTTTTGTTTTTGGGGTTTAATAAGGCCACGAAGTAAGCCGTCCATAATGGGGGAAGCAGCAGCGAGGCGGTGGTGGTTTCTGTACCCTAATAACTCCAACAACAGGAGGATTAGTAGAATTGCTGAATCACTAAAAAAGGGAACCCTCACCACCATCATTTTACACCTTCTAACCACTATTACAACGTACCACCATCACCACACTACCCCACAACCACTACATTACAACGCTTCCACTCTACCACCACCCCCTTTTATTTTTCCCTAAAAACCCTTTTTCATAAATTATTTGTTTTCCACTTTCTTTCCCAAAAGGGGCTGGCACTAAAAAAGGCTTTTTTTGGAGCCATGGAGCTTTTTTAAAAGGCACTTGCAAGCACAAAATAAAGGGAATATTATGAAATTTTTTTGCGGGAGAAAGTGAGGGAACCGCGCTCACGGGTAACAAGGGCCACTGGCGGGGAAGGCGGGCCCGGGCGGCTCAGAGCGTGATACCTCCCGGACGAAGGACTTAGCATTTAAATGGCCCTTTGCGAGCCAATTTTTAGACGAAAAAGGGGACATTTCCGAAATGGACATTTTTCACCGACGATTATTAGGACCACTGTATTTTTGATAAAGTATCATTATATTAACGTACACAAACCCAAAAAGGTTATAAGAAAAAAACACACCTGTTCCCTTTTGTTGATGAAACAGTCAACCGGGTTTTTTTTCAATCATTTGCAGAGAAACATGCATATATAACCAACAGAAAAAAGTGAAGGTAATATAAAAATCCCTCAGCCTTGATACCATAAATACTTACCAAAAAAGGAATAAAAAGGCACAATACCATACGGAAAAAACATATTTTCCATTAAAAATTACATCCCTTTTCTGTCTCCAGTATATATTCTGTGTATTGGATTGAAAACTTTGGTTTAAAATGATTCGCATTAAGGTATCAGTGCTCATAAAATCTTGTTCAAAAATTGATTATTATCAAATTCCAATTTTCTATTAAAAGTTGTGGGCGAAGCCTCCAAGAAAGAGATAAAAAACATCTTGAAAACACACCGCTCCCTGTTGGTTGCTATCCCAACGGTTAGCCCAAGAATTCGGGTCCCGGAGCCCGTCTCGCTACCAAAATCCTACCATAGCTTCATTTTTTTTTCCCCTTTAAAAAAAACCGAAGGATGTATACTGCTTTTTACTCCTTTTAGAATTTTAATGGCATAATTTTTAATGAAGCCATGCTTTTCCCGTGTGAGAATTTTGAATTTTATGTGCATGGTATGGTGTGGAAGCTCTTTATCCAAGAATTTTAGCTAAACCCCCCCATTTTTCAGACCAAATTGATTTCCTTTTGATTCTCAGTTATGACCCGCGAATTTAGCACTTCCTTAAGAAATTTTTAGACTCTTTAAGGGTACATGATGGGGATGATTTCCTTTTCCCTTGTGCTGCATAACCCTGTGGATTTAGCGCTTCTCAAGAAATTTTTACAAACGAAAATTTAAATCAAAAACCCTAAGTCTACGTGCTGCGGGGTAGGGTGTCTAAAGGGCTTTATTATTATTATATTTTAATCAAGCGTATAGCCCCCTTTTTGGGGTTTTCCCTATTTTTTATTATAATTTTTATAATCAAAAAAAAAGCGCTAAGCCACAAGGGGTAAAAAAGAAAGGTCTTTTAAGAGGGCAGCAAAAAAATGCTTTTCAAGGGAAAAGGGAAATATTTGCATTTTAGGTTACTTTAACGTGTTTACCGTGTGTGTCATTGCAGTCAATTCACCCAAAAAAGAAATGGATTGCATGAACATTTGGTTGTATTTTTTTTTTATGCATTTTGTATTCATTAATGCTTTAGTTTTTTGAAATGTACGGGTGCAAGTTTTGGCAACAGGCAATAAGTTAGTGGAGGGATCTGTGGTCCCACTTGCAACACCCTTAAACCTTTGCAAATAGTGCTGCATGACCCTAGTGGATTTAGCACTTAGTTACGATTGCAATGTTCAACCAGATATGTATTTTGATAGTGCTACGACCAGTCGTCAGTCGTCAGTGGTCAGTCGTCAGTCGTCAGTGGTCAGTCGTCACGTGAGGTCACAGACCCTGAGCTGCTTTGGGGATTAGCGTGGACGGTTACAAAGCATGGCTTGCTTCTGCAGTGTTTTAAAAACTGAGGTTGGAGAGTTGAAGGAGGAGGTCTTGCTTTTCCAGGAGGAGATTAGGAGGCTGAAGGTCCACCTCAATGGGTCTGGGAGAGAGTGTGAGGTGGCTGGAGTTGTGGGGAATGAGACTTCTAGCAGTGAGGTGCAGTCTGTCTCTTGCTGTGAGGAGGCTGTAGTTGGGGAGGTAGCAACGGCTACCAGCAGTGAGGTGCAGCCCAGCACCTGCTACAAGTGGCGAGTTTTTTCACAGTAATGGGAGGCGCATCAGAGTAAGGAAAGTTAAGAGTGAAGATCTGAAGGTAGGAAATCGCTTCTCTGTTCTCCAGGATGAATGTACTTCAGTGGCCAGTGAAGGTAAGGGTACTATTGCCCCTGCTAATGAAGGTAAGCGCATTCTTGTGGTTGGTGACTCTCAGGTAAGATATATTGACCGTGCTTTTTGTAATAGGAATAAGAAGATGAGAGATAGAGTGTGCTTCCCTGGAGCTGGTGTTTGGGGACATTGTCAACAGGCTGGATAATATCATGTCAGGTAATGGGAACAAGCCCATTATCTGTCTCAGTGCTGGTGGAAATGATATTGGGAAGGGTAGGAGAGAAGAGCTGCTAGATAAGTACAGGTCAGCTATAGATTTCATTAAGTCTAAGGGAGGGATCCCAATCATATGTAGCATCTTGCCTAGAAGGGGAGGTAGGAAATGAATGGTTGTCTAGGGCAATTGGTGTAAATTGCTGGCTAGACAGATACTGCAAGGAACTTGCAATCCCATTCATTGACAACTGGAACAACTTTTATGGCAAACATGATATGTATGCAAGGGATGGGGTACATCTCTCTGGGGCAGGGGTGGTAGCACTTGCAGACTCGATTGAGAAGGCCATTGGTGAAATGCCTATGATTTTAAACTGATGGAAGATAGAGTATGGGTGTGTGTGGGAAACAAGCAGGTTGCAACACTAGGGTTGGAAACAGTAAATGTATAAAAAAGGGATTCAGCATGAAGTTATAAATAAAAGACAATAGAACAGGTCAGCAAACAAAGGGGGACAGCAGAAGGCAGCAAGGGACTAGCTCCCTTAAGGTTTACTATACTAATAGCAGGAGTGTTAGAAATAAGATAGATGAGCTAAGATTAATTGCAAGTGCAGGAAACATAGATATTATTGCTATAACAGAGACCTGGCTCAATCTGAAAGATAGAGAGATGCCCTCTGAATGTCACATACAAGGCTATAAATTATTCCACACTGACAGGGTCAACAGGAAAGGTGGTGAGTAGCGATGTATGTCAGAGACAATTTAAATTGTTGTGTTAGACAAGATATTAAATTAGAAGCGTCAGCCACTGAATCTGTTTGGTTACAGCTTCTCGAGGGCCGAGAAAAACTAATTTTGGGTGTGATTTACAGGGCCCCAAATCTTGATAGGGAGTGCAGTAAACTTTTATGGGACGAAATTCGTAAGGCATCTACATACGAAAATGTTGTGCTAATGGGAGATTTCAACTATAGACAGATTGACTGGAGCAATTTGACAGGAAATTTAGAGTCGGGTGACTTTCTTGATACGATCCAGGATTGTTTTTTAAAACAGTTTGTGACAGAGCCAACCAGGGGAAATAACCTCCTTGACTTGGTTCTTGCCAGTAGGGAAACACTAATTAATAATCTTGAGGTTAATGATGAGCTTGGGGAGAGTGATCACAAATCACTCAGTTTTAATATATCATGGAATTCCCCTAATAATGGCAATCAAGTCTCCGTCCCTGACTTTCGCTTGGCTGATTTCATAGGACTGAAAAAATTACTTAGGTGGGCTGAACTGGAATGACCTGACTAAGGGTCAGGTAGGTGGTGATGGTTGCCGATATGATGCTTTCCAGGGCATAGTTCTAGCTGCTCAGTCAAATTATGTTCCAAATAGGGAAATCAGATCAAACAAAAAAAGATCCTAAATGGATGAACAATAGATTAAAATATCTGATTGGTCAAAAGAGAGGCATATATAGGCAAATCAAAAGAGGAGAGGGGCAATTAAGAAATCGATATATTCAGTTAAAGAGAGAAATAAAAAAGGGAATTAGAAAAGCAAAAAGAGATTATGAGGTTAAAGTTGCAAGAGAATCGAAGACTAACCCAAAAGGATTCTTTCAGGTATACAGAAGTAAGATCAGGGACAAGATAGGCCCACTCAAAAGTTCCTCGGGTCAGCTCACTGACAGTGATAAGGAAATGTGTAGAATTTTTAACACATACTTCCTCTCAGTTTTTACACAGGAGGATACCTGCGATATTCCAGTAATGATAAATTATGTAGAACAGGACGATAATAAACTGTGCACTATTAGGGTCACAAGTGACATGGTCCTTAGGCAAATAGATAAATTAAAACCTAACAAATCCCCAGGCCTGATGAACTGTATGCAAGGGTTCTAAAGGAATGTAAAGAGGAGCTTAGCACACCTTTGGCTAATCTTTTCAACATATCACTACAAACTGGCATGGGCCAGATAAGTGGAAAATGGCAAATGTGATACCTATTTTCAAAACAGGTGACAGGTCCTTAGCTTCGAACTATAGACCAATAAGCCTAACCTCCATAGTGGGAAAATTTATGGAATCAATAATTGCCGAGGCAGTTCGTAGCCACCTTGAAAAGCATAAATTAATCAACGAATCTCAGCATGGTTTTACAAAGGGGCGTTCCTGCCTTACGAATTTATTAACTTTTTTCACTAAGGTATTTGAGGAGGTAGATCATGGTAATGAATATGATATTGTTATATGGACTTCAGTAAGGCTTTTGACAGGGTCCCACATCAGAGACTATTGAGGAAAATTAAAGCACATGGAATAGGAGGAGAATTTTTTCCTGGATAGAGGCATGGTTGACAAATAGGCAGCAGAGAGTTTGCATAAATGGGGAGAAATCAGAGTGGGGTAGCGTCACGAGCGGTGTTCCACAGGGGTCATTTTGGGCCCCCTGCTGTTCACAATCTACATAAACGACATAGATGAGGGCATAAAGAGCGACATCGGCAAGTTTGCCGATGACACCAAAAATAGGCCGTCGAATTCATTCTGACGAGGACATTCGAGCACTCCAGGAAGATTTGAATAGACTGATGCAGTGGTCGGAGAAGTGGCAGATGCAGTTTAATATAGACAAATGCAAAGTTCTAAATGTTGGACAGGACAATAACCATGCCACATATAAACTAAATAATGTAGATCTTAATATTACGGATTGCGAAAAAGATTTAGGAGTTCTGGTTAGCAGTAATCTGAAACCAAGACAACAGTGCATAAGTGTTCGCAATAAAGCTAATAGAATCCTTGGCTTCATATCAAGAAGCATAAAAAAATAGGAGTCCTCAGGTTGTCTTCAACTCTATACATCCTTGGTTAGGCCTCATTTAGATTATGCTGCACAGTTTTGGTCACCGTATTACAGAATGGATATAAATTCTCTGGAAAATGTACAAAGGAGGATGACAAAGATGATCCCATGTATCAGAAACCTTCCCTATGAGGATAGACTAAGGGCCCTGAAACTGCACTCTCTAGAAAGACGTAGAATTAGGGGGGATATGATTGAGGTGTATAAGTGGAAGACAGGAATAAATAAAGGGGATGTAAATAGTGTGCTGAAAATATCTAGCCTAGACAGGACTCGCAGCAATGGTTTTAAGTTGGAAAAAATTCAGATTCAGGAAGGATATAGGAAAGTACTGGTTTGGTAATAGAGTTGTGGATGAGTGGAACAAACTCCCAAGTACCGTTATAGAGGCCAGAACGTTGTGTAGCTTAAAAATAGGTTGGATAAATACATGAGTAGATGTGGGTGGGTGTGAGTTAGACCTGATAGCTTGTGCTAACAGGTCGGTTGCCGTGTTCCTCCCTTAAGTCAATGTGACCTGACCTGACTAGGTTGGGTGCATTGGCTTAAGCCGGTAGGAGACTTGGACCTGCCTCGCATGGGCCAGTAGGCCTTCTGCAGTGTTCCTTCGTTCTTATGTTCTTATATCTTTATGCTGAAGGACTCGGGTCTAAGGATTTGGAGCTACCCTCATTTTCCTTGTCAAACATAATTGCTACGTATTCCCCAGGCACTGTATAACCCCGAAGTTTCATAAGAGCTAAACACATTTCATGGGGAAAAAACATTGAGTCCATGTTGGGCATACAGCATCTGAGAGGGACATCCAATCCCTTCAATCAAGAGCCCCTTACCAGCCACAAGGTACAGTACCTTTGAGGAGATAGAAGAGGGTAGCTTCTTAGTCCTAGGATCAAAGGCCCTTCTCCATAAAAGCAACTCCCTTGAAGAAGCACCCTTGTGATTATCTTGCTTATAAGCAAGATGGAAGTTTCAGTGTAAGGAATGGGAGAATATAAAATGCCCTTCACCAGTGTTATATGGGAAGGAAGTTTAATCCAAGGAAGGGGAGGATATGTACACCTGATCAAGGATCCCTCGCCAGTATTAAAGGGGGGGCCAAGGGAAAAGCTTCATGCCTATTCATGCCAAACACTGCCTTAAATTTATCAAAACGGGTGCTAAAACCCATGAGGGTTGAGCACTGCCCTTTGCCCTTGCCGTCCCCCCTTTTTGACCCGTTTGTGCATTCTTTTGCGTTCGCATTTGTTATTTTTCCTTGCAGCACTACGACCCTTTTGAGTTTAGCACAATTTGATTATTTTTAAAATTTTATTATAATAAAGGGGGGAAAGTGCAAAAACCCGGGAGGTTTTTAAAAGCGCCTGGGGGGGGGGGATGTGGAAGGGCATTCGGGCTTAATTGGGGGGAACTGGGGCACAGACCCAATTCCCTAAATCAAGAGCCCCTCACCAAATCAAGGAACCTTTCCTTGGGGGGAGCACAATTTGAATACCTTTATAAAAAAAGGGGCCACTGGGAGCTTAAAACCCCTGTACAGGATTGGGAAATTTAAGACAATTTTGATCCAAGGATTTTATTTTTATTCATGGTGCTAACCCATATAAGGGAAAAAAAACCTGGGAATGGAGGTAATCATTTAAAATTTTTGGGGCCCAAGGACACTTCATCAAAAAATAAAATTTTTTTTTATTATTATAATCAAAAAGAACGCAACCCCAAAAGGACTAAAAAATTAAAATAAAAAAATAAGTAATTAATATAAGCTTAAACCTTCACAAAGAAAGAAAAAAAAGTGTTCAATGTAATTTTTTCAAGCAAAAGGGGGGGAAATAAATCAAATCATTTTAAAAATTTTTTTTATTAAAATGAATTTAGAGCGGGGCCCTTTTCCCTTTTTCCCCCCTTTGTATAGAGCAAGTAGAGTACTTGGAAAACCCCCTCCTTGAATCGGATCCCTGGAAACAAAAACAAGGGATAAAATATTGTATTTCTTGCCCTGCCCTAGAAATTACCCATTATAAACCCCCAGTATACAGAAAGCTTCACTTAAAAAATGTCAAAGTATTAAAATACGGGCTTACATTGTGCTAAAATAAAATAAATTTAAAAAAACAGGTAAAAATGATAGCAAAATAGTTTTTTAAAAGAAAAAGTCAAATCTTTAAGAATTTACGTAGTCTTACCAGGAAAAATCACCAAAGGGTGCCCTTTACGCCAAAACCTCCCCAACACTCGTCTTCCCCTCAATGTAGTTCAGGCAACCATCACGGGGGGACAAAAGCAGGATCTCTTGCCCTTTTTTTTCAACTGAACCGCACAAATTTACGGATGGGAGTTTTTGGGTGTTTGGGTTCTACCATGAAAAAAAAACAACAGGCGGGCGTTTTCAATAAAAAAGAAGTAAAGGAAACATTGAAATTGAAAAATACATGTTAACAAAATTTCCCCCGGAAGCAGTTTTTAGTTGGGTTTTAAATGTATGAAAGCTTAAGTATGTATGATGATTTTTTTGGTTTTTAAAAAGCAAGATACCTACATTTGTTTTAGCAGTATTTATCTTCTGGAAGATGTTAAAAATTCTGGGACCCTGAATTGAACAACATTCTTTTCTTGTGCCCGTGTCCCTGAACTTTAGGGTTTTTCCATCATTATCTCATCTTTACTCTGGGATGTTATGGCATGCGGATTTGGGTCCAGAACCCCCCAAGCACCTTCCCCAAATACATTATCATGCATCTCTTCCCCTCTTGTATTAAGAATATTGGGAGTGAGGCACTCTCGAATTTAAATGCTTTTTTTGGTTATATTGGCAAGGCAATACAAGAGGTCTGAATGTGCATTTTAAATCAAAAGTATGACATTTTTTTACCCGGAGTTACCCGGAGAGGCTTTTAAAAAGTATTTATCTATATTTTTTACCAAGTGTATTTATAAAAGCATTAAAAGGGGAAAAGCACGCACTTTTCAACACTGAGAACTAATCATTTTAGGAGAAAATTTTTGGCACAACATACATAAATTGGTTAAATACAATTTGTTATTTTTCTACTGGGTCGTACTTTTTAAAACCCCTCATGTAAAAAGAATGGAAAATAAAGGGATAAGGGAAGAGGTAGAAGAAATACAATGGGATGTGTGAGAGGAAAAAAGGGGATAAGAGAGTAAGGAGAAAAAAAGAAGGGCATGTGAAAATAAAATGTATAAATGATCAAAGAATTGCAGTATTATTTAACTGGCAAAACAAGAATGGCATAAGAAAATAACTTACATTTTTTTTTGAACAATGCCTTTAGCATGGGAAGCTCCTCCGAAGGGATTAGCCTTCCACCGGGTACCCAAGTGGGCCCTCTTATAGTCCTTGTCGTGCCACCTCTGGACACGACGGTGGGTCAGATGCTTACGGGCAGTGCGAAAGTCCACGGGGTTTTTTCCTAAGAAGATAAAACCAAGTTGGGATTAATTTTTTTAAACAAACTATTTCTTTCTGCAGTATACATTATATTCATGGGGAGCACTAAACCCACAGGGATTACACAACACCTGTGGGGAGTGGAAGGGATTCAAGCTCAATGCAGGGAAATGCAGCAGATCCAATTCCCTAGATCAAGAGCCCTCCCCTTGAGGGGTCTGCAGTATACAAAATAATAGTTTTTACATGTAATAAGTCACAATTTTGGTAGGAAAAAAAAGGTTTACATTACGTTTTGGCTGAGATTTTTTCCCTGGATCGCTTGGGGTTGCCCACCATAGTCAACTAGGCCTATGTCACACTTCCTGGAGTTTATCTGGAGAGAATTCCGGGGTCAACGCCCCCCACAGCCCGGTCTGCGACCAGGCCTATGGTAGTACAATAACCAGCTCACATAATTTGAAAGGGATAAAATACGAACACGATGGACAACGTTGAAAATAGTATAAAATACCGACAACTCGAAAATTAATTGATGAAAGGTTTCGCCTACACAGTAGGCATTTCAGTATTTTTAAAGAGCCTACTGTGTAGGTGAAACGTTTCAGCAATAAAGTACCAACTGGGTGTACATGTGTTTTAATCACGATGGATAATAATTATACTGAAAGTTTTATAGTAACGACGTTTCGCATATTTATACTTCGTGGGCGAAACGTCCGTTTTTTCACTCTCCCCTAACTTATTTTCCCCTTCCCTGGATAGAACTTAATGCCTCCACACGCCCTAGCTGCTACATAACCCCTACAGTTTTAGCGTTTACCCTCATTAAAATAATAAAAAAAAGTCTCGCACAGCTTTCCAGGAGCAGCTTTTCTCTCACGTGTCCGCCACCACCATATTTAACCCTCCCCACGCTAAAACTACGCCATTTAACTACCTCGTACCACCCTAGCAAACCCCTGCCATTACTACCACGCAATTTTAAAAAAGAAACACGCCAAAAATGAGAGGAAATACCGGGTAAAAACTGGTAAAAATAAGAAAGGACAGACCCATGACGCCCCCGTAGTGTTGTTGATGAGGGAAGGATCGCGGACAAACCCAAAATATTACAGAATGGATATAATATTCTCTGGTGTGTAAATGTTTCCAAAGGAGGAAGGACAAAGATGATCCCATGTAGCAGAAACCTTCCCTATGAGGATAGACTAAGGGCCCTGAAAATGCCACTCTCTAAGAATGACGTAGAATTAGATTAGGGGGGATGGGATATGATTGCAGGTTGTATAGTGGATGTCAACGACAGGAATAAATAAAGGGGATGTAAATAGTGTGCTGAAAATATCTTAGCCTAGTACGGACTCGCAGCAATGGTTTTAAGTGGAAAAAAATTCAAGATTCAGGAAGGAGATAGGAAAGTACTGGTTTGGTAATAGAGTTGTGATGGAGTGGAACCAAACTCCATGTACCGTTATAGAGGCCAGAACGTTGTGTAGCTTTAAAGAATAGGTTGGATTAATACATGGAGTAGATGTGGGGTGGGTGTGAGTTAGACCTGTTAGCTTGTTGGACTAACAGGTCGCGTTGCCCGTGTTCTCCTTTAGTCATGTGACCTGACATGACTAGGTTGGGTGCATTGGCTTTCAAGCCGGTTAGGGAGATCTTGGACCTGCCTCGCATGGGCCAGTAGGCCTTCTGCAGGTGTTCCTTCGTTCTTTATGTTCTTATATCTTTATGCTGAAAGGACTCGGGACTATGGATTTGGAGATACCCTCATTTTTCCTTGTCAAACATTAATTGTACGTATTCCCCAAGGCACTGTTTAACCCGAGTTTCGAATAAGAGCTAAAAATTTCAAGGGGAAAAACATTGAGTCCATGTTGGGCATACAGAATCTGAGAGGGATCATCCAATCCACTTCAATCAAGAGCCCTTACACAGCCACAAGGTACAGTACCTTTGAGGAGATAGTGAGGAAGTAGCTTCTTAGTCCTAGGATCAAAGGCCCTCTCCTTAAAAGCACTCCCTTGAAGACAGCACCACTTGTGGTATCTTGTTATATAGCAAGATGGAAGTTTCTCAGTGTAAGGAATGGGAGAATATAAAAATGCCCTTCACCCGTGTTATATGGGAAGAAGTTTTAATCCAAGGATGAGGGAGGATATGTACACCTGAATCAAAGGATACACTCGCCAGTTTAAGGGGGGCCCAAAAAGGAAAGCTTCATGCCTAAATTCATGCCAAAAACACTGACCTTGAATTATCAAACTAGGTGTGCTAAAACCATGTGGGTCATAGAAGCACTGACCTTGACTTGCGCAGTCTCCCCTTTGACAAACCAGTTGTGCATTCTTTTGCAGTTCTGTCATCTTGTTATTTCCTCTGCTGCACTACGACCCTTTTGAGTTTAGCACAATGTTGATTATTATTTATTATTATTAATCAAGGGGGAAGTGCTAAACCCGGAGGATTATAATGCGCCTGGGGGGGGGGGGGGGGGATGTGGAAGGCATTCAGGGCTTAATTCGGGAACTGGAGGCTAGATCCAATTTCCCTTAAATCAAGAGCCCCTCTGTCACCAACATCAAGGAACCTTCTTGAGGGGAGCACAAGTTGAGTTACTTTATAAATTAAAGGGACCAAACTGGATCGCATTAAACCTTCTGTCACCAGTGATTGGGAAATTTTAAGACAATTTTTGATCCAAGGATGTTATTTTTTATCATTGGTGCCTCAACCCATATAAGGGTTAAAAAACCTGGGAATGGGAGGGTAATCTTTAAAATTCCATTGGACCAAGAGCACCTTCATCAATAATAAAATATTATTATTATTAGTTATAATCAAAAAAGAGCGCTAAGCCAACAAGGACTAAATAAATA